GTGTGTGTGTGTGTGTGTGTGTGTATACATTTATTACATATTTATACATATTTATTTATTTATTTATGCTGGTCTTGTTGTATTTGGGTCTTTTCCTGTGTAAGATTGAGATTGTCTTGCAATGTTTCGGCAAGGTCTCACTCGCCTTCTTCAGGCTGGAGACCTCGCCAAAACGTTGCCAAGACAATCTCAATCTTACCCAGGAAAAGAAGACCCAAATACCAGCTGGGTATATACTTTGCCTACCCAAAATAAATTTATTATGCAGGCACAACCTATCCGTGTGTGAAATCCTAACAAAAATGTCAACATTCCTTTGAAAAGCTCACAAGCTATTTAAGCCTTATAGTCATCCTGATTTAATTTCAACTGTCTGCTTAAAATCATCCAAAATCTTCATAGTGTGATTTGTCCTGCCTGCCAAGTTACAAAATTGGAATATAAGGTCAATTCATCTCATGGACAGTCTATAAATTATTTTAAGCAGGCTATACTGCTAAGCACAAATCAATTTCCATGAAAAAAACCTTTATGATATTGTCAGTTTCACAAAACTAGGAAGCTTTGAAATTAAAAATGAAATTACTTTTTAGGTATAAATACTGAGATTGAAGTGAATTTCCTTTTAAATTGGCTCAAACATTGATACTTTACCCTATTTATATATGGCAGATCTGAATCAGATACCAACATGTCCCAAATTCAAACTTATCTACATACACCATCTTAGGTTAGGTCATGAAACTGAGAAAGAAAACAATTTTAAAACATTTATAATGGCCTTTTGTCCATTCCAAAATGATTACTTTTCATTGCAATCCAATGCAATGTCCCTCTTCCTCCTTAATCTCATATTTTATTGTATTATCAAAGTGAATTGATCATATGTTTTCTTGCAATGTTTTCTTAGACCTAAGAACATTACAATTTTGTCAGGAATGATAAATTAAATAACCACAATGAACCTCACAAAAATTAGCTGTATTCTCTTTATTGTTAGCCAATGAATGTTATTCAAAATAATAGATGGTAATAACTATAGCTTAATTTTACAANTCCAAGAAGCTTCTTCCAAGTCCAGTTGCCTCTTGAAAAAGCACCTTTGGGACAACCACGAGCTGGATGACTGAGAATCTCCATAGACATTGTTCTGTGTGTGGGAGCTTCAGTTTTGCCGCTGAGGGTATTGTCTTAATTAGGTGTCCTATTGTTGCATGTTATCCTATTGCCAAATGCTACATTTTGGGACACTTGTTCGCCATTGATACCCTTACCTAGTAACATGTCCTCTTTCACTCTGGCAAAATTTATGCTAGAGCCAAAGAGAAAGTATGATAGAGGAGGTCATAGTTGCTGCTCTTGTGTTTCCATTGTTGGAGAATATCAAGCAGTCCATATAGAAAACTACACATCCAGCAATACCAGTACATATGTACCAACCTATTACTTTCAATGAAAGGGAGCATTTCATACACACAATAAAAAATCATATACCTGCCTTCACCTTCATCACACAGATATTTGTTAAATAAATGGAGTATCCTATGCAAGCAGGGATTTATGGACTGTAGATCCTATGGTATACATTTGCATCGAGGTATAGTTGTTGACATCATGTGGCGACTATAGGATAGTTTTAGAGAATGCCTAAATGCACACATTAATATTAATAGTGTACCTAAAACTACATAATTGCATCATTGACTATTAAGACCTTTTAATGATCCTCAGCACTCACCATACATTTCTAGCTGCAGGAGAATTTTTAAAAAATAATTTTTAAATAACAATATCCACTTTCAGAATTATTTGTAGGAAAGATAACAGAATAACAGAAGGGACCTTGGAAGTCTTCTAGTTCAACCCCCTGCTCAAGCCAGAGACACTCTACCATTTCAGACAAATGACTGAAAGCCTCCAGTGTTGAAGCACCCAAAACCTCTGGTCAAAGAGGAATCTGGAAAAATGATTGTTCATCTTTTCATTGATTATATTTTTTTTTTCCGTGATGGGATTATCCACATCCAGTAACTAGTATTTGGCCTTATGAAAAAGGAGATATGCATGAATTCTGCTTTTAAAAGTTTTAAATGCCTAGAAGAACCATCACCTCTTTCACAAAAAAAGGACAGAAAAAAATGGTGACCCTTATGTCGCGTTATTGGGTTTTAAAATGGCTGACCTGCGGAAGGTAGAAACACAGACAAGTCAATTTTGAGGTCACATTAACATGTACTAGGCACAAGTGGAATATAGGATTTGTTTATCTGCATATCAGGTGGCATAAGATATTTTCATGCTATTTCAGTCATATTTATTTCTCTGTGTCTATCTGTTTATATGTGTCTATAACTCTTATATGTGTCTATAACTCTAGAGCCAAGGTGGCGCAGTGGTTAAATGCAGCACTGCAGGCTACTGCTAGATCAGCAGTTCAGCGGTTCAAATCTCACCGGCTCAGGGTTGACTCAGCCTTCCATCCTTCCGAGGTGGGTAAAATGAGGACCCAGATTGTTGGGGGCAATATGCTGACTCTCTGTAAACCGCTTAGAGAGGGCTGAAAGCCCTATGAAGCGGTATATAAGTCTACTGCTATTGCTATTGCTATCTATCATCTCTCTCTCTCTCTCTCTATCTATCTATCTATCTATCAGCCCATCTCACAGAAGAGCTCTGTGTTACTGAATTCATAAATGTAAGAAAGCATCAGTAAAAGTTCAACTCAGAACTGTTTATTTATACATCACATTCATACACTGCCCATCTACCTCATAGAGTGACTGGGCAGTATAAATAGGCATGAAAACAAAACAATATATACAATAGAGATTACAATAAAAACTAATTAAAAAGGCAGAGGAGGGGCTTCAGGGCGGTAACTGAAGCGAGTTGGCAGGTCTTCCGACATGCTTGAAAAGCCAGGAGAGTTCGGCCTCACCTCTGAGGGGAGAATGTTCCAAAGGGTGGGAAAATGGCAGAGAAAGCGCTCTTCCCGGGCCCCACCAGTCAAGCTGCTTTAATTGACGTGGTCCACTGCATATCTTCCTTGCCTTGCTGAATTTTAGAATATGTGAATGTCAAATCCTTGTTTTCTTGAATAATTTTTCTTAAAATGTTTGTTTTATTTTTAACGACATTTTCAATATCGAGGTGCAGAGTACATAACAGTATATTGTTACCTGGTTGTGGCTTGAAACCAAGGTGAATGGCTGTATCCATATGGAAAGCTGAAGGTGTCAAACCTGATCTCCCTTCTGGGATTTTGTATCCTGGCTTATTTTGTTACTTTGGAGTTAAGACTTGTAGTACCCAGTGCACCCACCTATGTTTCAGGGTTCTTAACCAGGGATTCACCCCCATTTCTCTAGTGTGTTGAGTGAGAACACTGTTTCTCTGTTGATTAAAGGATAAAAATAGAATAAAGTAATTTCAGTAATAAACCTCCTGGCCAGGGAGTACAGAGGTACATGATTTGATGATTCATGATTTGATGATTCAGCTCCCCTCCTCCCCACCCTTAGGGTTTAGACCAATCTTATCACAAATAAATAAAACCAAACTTCGTTTAAAGAGCAAAAAATACAAATTTAATAATAGGTTTTATATTTTAGACATATATATGTATGTATATACATACATACATATACATACATACACACACACACTCAAAGATGAATAGAATATATTCCTGAGCTTTCCAGATTATAGTAAAGTGGTAATTTAAAAGAAATTTACAAAAGGAAATGCAGCATGCCAGAGGAACCATAAAATGATTGGTTACAAATGGCTCAATATTTTCCCCTAAATAATTCAAGAAAATTAGGGAAAACATGGCATAGTCATACTCAGCCAGATGGATAGCTAAAAAACTGGAAACACAAATTCCTTATTTGTACAGAAAAAACAATACGACTCTTGTGAAATAAAGAGAAATAAGAAATAATAAAAGTTTCTGGTTTGACTTTTTTTTTCTTTGACATGACTTTACTTGCTTTTATTCAAATAACAAACCCTCTATTCATACTTTATTCAGCGATGATGATGACAATATGTAAATCTCTATTCTGTTGTTAGTCTACAGCTTATTTGGATTTCTGACTCTTGATATAAAACAACTAAAGTTTACTGTTTCTAATGGAGGAAATGCTTAGGTAATACGACTGTGAAGCGGTGTACATATTTTTCACTTGAAGGATGTACTGTATATTGACAGTTTGGCATTAGAAGCTGCTGTCCCTTGCAAAAATGTGAAACAGCAGGCACAAAGTTTTTACTTGCAATATGAACTTTGACAATCCAGGTAATCATCATGTTTATATTCTTTTGTGCTTTAATGTAAGAACTTAGAGAAGCTGAGTTGCATCAAGCCAAAGGACATCTGTTCTAAAATTGTTCCTAATCTTTGAAACCAGATGCCTTTATAAGCACAACAGCACCTCCCGTTCTCCAGCAATTAGTGTTGACTGTAACACACTGCTTCCAGTGCTGAAAATAAAAGAATTGCATATCATACTCTATGTTTTATTGCATCACAAATATCTGCAAAGGTACTTTGGTACTGGTTTTTTCCCCCCAGTTCGTGTCCGCCCAGTATAACTTTGCCATTTTCACAGTACACAATAATACTATGATTTGGTTTGCATATAGTACTGAGCCATATTTTATTTAAACCTATCTTTATTATTCTCTTGTTTTTATTTATGAATCAACCAGGGTTGTTGGGAGTCAAGCAATGTAAACATCTAATAAATAGTGAACCCAATGAGCAATTTATAAACTATGGCTTATTATATGCAGCTTGCTAATTGTAGCTGTTCAGTAAGTCATGCTTAAACAAGAATATAAATATAATGCGTGAATGTAATCACACAAGGGCTTTCTATCATTGCCACATCATAAACATAATAAAACTCCATTATCAGTGTGGTTAGTTCCACACAAACACTTTCTGGTATGTGCTTTACATTTGCTTATACTGGACTACATTTGCATGTTAATGCTCTCATTTCTGTTTGAAGGTTTCTCATTTTCCAGTTAATTCTGAACTCCTAGCAAACATGGTCACTTCACTGATTATCTCTAAATCTAGGTTAGTTACAAAACTTCCCAATTCCAGTAATATTTTCAATGATGAAATTCAAAATATACGGTCCTTGGAGTAACATAGTTTGCATAACTCCACAAGGTAAGCTGATAATTAATTTGTAGTTCTCTTTGTGTGTATATTTTACCTTCTCACTGTATAAATTGAAAACATTGTTCAGAAATCTTTGATTCTTTAAACAAGAGTTTGTAGATTGGTATAAATCTGTTCCATTCTATTCACTTTTCCCTCAAAGCATCCAATTTTGAGAGAAAGATTGCAAGGTATATGCAGTAAATAGTGTCGGGAAGGATGAAACAGATTTATATTGACCTACAACTTAAAACAATTTGTGAAGATAATTTTTCTCAAAAAATTATCAATTGTTCTTATCCTGAGTTATCATCACTTAATATACAGTACTTAAAAATTAAGAATGGACAGGAAAATACTTGAAATTTATCAATCTTATATGCCCACTTTGGCCAAGCTTCATGCAGAGTATCAGATCTTATCCACATTATCTCATACATGAAATGAAAAACAAACATTTGAACTTCCTTTCCTTTGAGAAAATGTCACACCAATGATTTCTAAAACATGCTTTCTCTAAATGGTTGACAAAATTCGTTTGGAGAATTGATTGGAGAAATGTCCTATCAATAAAGTTGCAAAAAAAACCACCACCTTTTGTTTAAAAAATTACAAACTTCCAAATAACAGAAGCACAGAGGCAGACCTCAGAATCTTCTGTTGCTTCTTAATAAGTTTATTCTAAGGGCTGCAAGAGATTGTATTTTTGTAACCTGCATAAAGACAGAGAAGAAGAAACCAAGAAGATTTAATAAACTAGTAAAGAATCTTACCAATACAAGCATGGTTATTTAGTTTCGCAACAGCAATTAAAGTTGGGGATTCACCATACTGCACCCTCCAGATACTTTAGATTAGAATAGATAGATAGAGGCCCATCAAACATGGCCAGTAGCAAAGGTTTAGAAGACTCATCTCTGCATGCTCCGTGGTTTAGAATAATGACATAAGTTGTTGGCCTCAGAATCCCACCAGCCTTGATTAATTGTTAGGGAATAATTGTAGATCATTAAATTATAGGTCCCCTCCCCAAATGTAATAATTAAGAGAATAAGAAAATATGTTTCAGAAGACCTTTGAAATTGTATCTCTATAAATTTATCATAAGAATGAGGGGAGACATGGACATAATTTCTTCCTAAATTAGACTCATTTGGAAGTCACAATGAAATCAATATATATAATTGATTTGTCTGGTAATTCCAGGAATAGAGTCACTATGAATGAGATGGACAGTCTTTAAAGTGTGTGTGTATGTGGGGGGGGGGAATGGGGAGATACACTAGTTTCACTGGTACTGGTACATGCTGGCTCTATCTAGAATTGGATTGAAGATCATAATCAAGTTTCTAGTCGGGAATCTTCAAGGGAATTGTAATCCCTTTTTTTCCTGAACTGCCTTTCAACAGATTGAAGAGCTCTAAAGCTGTTTCACCTTAATCCAGTTTTCTGCTCTCACAAGGCACTGCTTTCAAATAGCTTCCTCAGATTTTGCTGAGGTTTGATGCCATCAGCACACTGGGACCATTGAACTCCATACAACTTCTAACAGTGTCACATATACAGTATGTTAAATAGCATAGTCAACAAGTCAAATCCTAAAGAATTATGGAGAGCAGTCTGAAAACTGCTTTGATAACGTCTATATGATTGTGTTAACAAAACATGCTTAAAATCTTTTTTATGCATATCACATTTACATCCCACAACTGCATATTGATTCTCAGTGACCAACTGATATTAAGCAATATTAACCTTGAAACTGTATTCAGTAGCAAATAGGCACATTGTGCAAAGCCAACTCTCCCCCCTCCCCCACTGCCAAATCTAATACTCACAGCTGTGGATATGCAGTAACAGGATCCAGACTCTGGTGGCTGTCAGGATCTAAAATGAAACAAGCTGAGCCTGAACCCAAACAACTTTGTTCATTGAGTATTTCTGGTGTTGTCTGTAGAAAAACCTCTGAGAAATATAATGGCCATCATTTTGGAATTTGCCTGATTCCATCATTTTTTAGTAGACATGGGTAGATTTAATTTAATGATTTAAATCATACCATGGACATTTTATGATACTGATCTTTTTCATGGTTGTGAATTACCAAGAATTGCCAATCTTTGGAAGCAGATTTAAATCCAATAACCTAACCTAAACCAAGATATGGAAAAATGGAGAGGGAACATGAAATATACTCACAATGGGAAACTTGAGATTTAAAGACAGAATGACAAAGGGTGTGTATGTAAGGATGCATAATTATATAAATATAATGATGAGAATAGCTGGGAATTGTAACCAGGTCTACATCTCAGCCAAAATTAGGCTGGGGGTGGGGGGTGGGGGTGGGGGGTTAAAAGCACAATGACTACACACACATTTTTTTCTCTCCTTTAAAAAAAGGAGGAAGATATATGTTAAAATTAAATATGTATATTGAAAAGGAATTATAAACACCAAAATGGAGTTTGTTCAGAAGCTGAATACACCAAGTAAATGAAATGAAGAGTGTGAAGTAGAGGAGAGAGGTAAGGGAAATAGAGAGGGATAGGAGAGAGTGTGTGAGTGGAAGAGGAGGAGAGAAAGAAGGAGTGGAAAGGGGAGAGGAGAAGGAGAGAGGAAGAGGAAGTAGAGAAGAGAAGGATGACAGTGGGAAGAAAGGAGGTAGGGAGGGGGAGGAGAGACGGA